CGACCCGGAACTTAAGGCCCTAATTGAATACCTTGAAGGCAGGACCGCCGAAGTCCCGAAGGTATTTAAGCGCGCACTTGCGTCGTTCTTTCTACGAAACGGTCTTCTACAAAAGAAAAACTTTTCACCGCTTCGAGCTAAGTACCTCCTTGTGGTGCCTTCAGCTCTGCGACCATAACTCCTGCAGGCCCTGCACGAGGATCCGACGGCAGGGCACCTCGGTGTTTCTCGCACGCTCGCCAGGATACAAGAAAGGTACTACTGGCCACGTCTTACCACCGACGTCACTCGTTATGTGAGGACATGCCGGGACTGTCAGCGACGCAAGACACCGCCGACAAGTCCAGCGGGACTTCTGTAGCCAATTGATCCACCTTGCCGACCTTTCCAGCAGATTGGTATGGACCTACTGGGGCCGTTCCCGACGTCGGCTTTCGGAAACAAGTGGATCGTGGTAGCTACCGACTACCTCACCCGCTACGCCGAGACAAAAGGCCTGCCAAAAGGCAGTGCATCTGAGGTAGCTAAGTTCTTCGTCGAAAATATCGTCCTACGTCACGGCGCCCCGGAGGTCCTTATCACCGACAGAGGAACGGCATTCACTGCCGACTTAACTCAAGCGATCTTGGCATACAGCCAAACAAACCACCGCCGGACGACAGCATACCACCCACAGACCAACGGCCTCACCGAGCGGCTTAACAAGACGATCGCCGACATGCTGTCAATGTACGTCGATGTCGAACACAAGACGTGGGACGCCATTCTTCCGTATGTGACCTTCGCATACAACACGGCGGTGCAGGAGACGACGCAGATATCTCCATACAAATTGGTCTACGGAAGGAGCCCGGCAACGACGCTCGATGCCATGTTACCCAACGTCACCGACGAAGAAAACCTCGATGTGAGCGAGTACCTTCAACGCGCCGAAGAAGCCCGACAACTTGCGCGTCTCCGTATCAAGAATCAACAGACGACCGACAGCCACCGTTACAACCTTCGACGACGCTTCGTGGAATACCAGCCCGGTGAACGTGTTTGGGTTTGGACGCCGATACGCCGACGTGGACTAAGCGAAAAGCTTCTGCAACGGTACTTCGGACCGTACAGGGTGGTTCGACGTCTCGGCCCACTTGATGACGAGGTTGTCCCCGACGGCATCACGAACTCTCAACGATGCCGATCGCAACCTGAAGTCGTTCATGTCGCGCGCCTCAAGCCGTTTCATGCGCGTTAACAAACTGAAACAGTGTTTTTTTTTGTATTATTGTTGTATAGTAATTTATTCATTGTACTTTCTTGCATTATTATTGTACCTTCATCTTTAGTTAAAGCATCGGGACGATGCCTTTTTTCGGAGGGGGGCAATGCCACGTTCCATTTCCCAAGTTTTTGTTATCGTCCCAAAACACCACACGATTCTCAGCGCAAACCGCGCCTGCAGTTTTCGAGAAGGTTCTGGACTGTAGTATATCATTTCAATAAGATCACGCCCATTGTGCGAACGGTACAGATTGTTCTGGAACCTACGCCACCGCCAGCGATAACGCTAGAACATTCGACGGCAAGAGTATAAGTGCCGACGCGCTTCGCCGCTTGTGAGTTGTTGATCGAAGGCCGACGCTCCGTTCGCCGCTATCAGTCCGAGACTGCTATCTGTGCGAGACTGCTGCTGTAATTGGACTTTCCGTTTACCGGGCACAGGTTCGCCCAAATAAACAGTTAAATACCAACACGAAGTCTCCTGTCTTCGGCCACGTCACGACTCCGTGACCCCGTGAACAAAGGCCTTTCTTTGTGTTCCCTGTGTAGACCAATGGCCTTTTGCAGACACTGAGGCATTGCAGAATTGCTTACACAGCAAGTTATGGGGAGCAGTTAATCGTGATCACAGCACAAAACAACTGGTAGTTATTGGATGATCTACTGTAACTGCGAATACTTTGGGCTCGTTCTTGTGAGGAATTCACCACAGGTACATTTGGATTGTAATACGTTAATATGGTTCAAAGTGATGTTTCGCTGCAGAGATAAAAATTGTTTGCTCTCATAGTTCGTTGATTGTTTAAATATTCTCTTCCGGTTTGTCTGAATATTTGCCTCTTTATCTGCATGGTCAGCCGTGGCCAAATGCTCAGATATACTCAAATGTGTATGTTTCTTATAAAGTTTCTTAAAGAAGGAAAATATACCATTTGTATTCAAAATTTTGAATATTTGCACACTCCTGGTTTTTTAGAGTGAATACAGAACAGGTTGGTGTTTTATCACTTGTCTGGTGTTCAGTGGTGGTGCTTGTTGGCAGGTCATTGTAAAAAACCACATTAGGGACACTTGCTAATCAAAACAATAGGGCAGTCGTGCGCATATTTGTCACTTTTTTGTCCTGTCTGTCTCTGCGCATACATACATGTGTCCGCAGTACTATTTATGGGCCTCCAAACAAGCACGGCTTCAGGAGAAAATTCAAGCTTGAATTTCGTCACATGGTCATAACGTCCACTAAGGCAGCAGTCAGCATTTTCAAGATTTTACATTTTGTTTGAGCAAACCTGTGCCCGAAAAAAAAAAAAACGAAATGTTGCACTACAAGCAATACACGCTGTAGATTGATAGCAGTGAACAGAGCGGTAGTAGTCGATAATCTGATCGAGGCGAAGCACGCCGGCATTCAAACATGTGGCATTAAACATCCCAGTGTTATTGCTGATGGCTGCATTTGTTTGAGAATAAGCTCATCTATTTGCATTTGCGTGCTCAAGCCTAACACAGGATCCCAAAATAATGTGGAATGCTCCCAGACATTCTGCTGCGGTTTGCACTAGGCAGTATCCTTGAGTGCAATGGGCCGGTAGTATAAAACTTATTACGAAAAGAGCATGTGCGACAATATGTATATTTTTGAACCGCTGGTGTTGCTTGAGCTCATACTTCGACAAGTAGTCTTCTCTTTTTCGATTCAACGACTCCCGTCATAATGAAAACTAGGCCACCTGTTGAAGCATTGGCGCCAGTGACACCCCGCCTGTTCAAGAATAATTATCTGTTCTATGGGCTGGACTTTAAGGCATGTTGCATTGACAGCCGAGGAAGTATATAGTGCCATGCACCTTTTTCAATTTTATTGTAGATGCATTGACTCACAACTAACTTTCAGAAACCCGATGCTATGAAAATATTGCAGATGAGGCACAGATTTGCCTTGATGACTTTTGCCTATTCTCACAGGCAGCTGTACAATGTTAAAGCAAGGACAGCTGGATATACATGATAATGTACAGCCTGTTGTAAAAATAAGTAAATGCCAGTCAGGCATTCCCACCCACAGATGATAGGCTTTTGCTTTTTTTGCGATATGGTGGGCTCCTCTATTGTGTAGTCCTGGTGACCACAATGTAGCTTAACTCACAGAGACAGATTTGGAGTCAGAACTACAGCTATTTAGAAGGCTCACTAGCTACACCAACCAAACTTGTATAACAGCCTGTAAGATATAATATCTTTAAAGGGCCAGTAAACATCCCAAGGTCCTAAAATTGTTGTAAAGAGAAATATGTGCACTTTCACTTCGTGAACATGCTGCCGCAAGACTTTTGCAAATACGTGCTATATTAAGGAAGTTAAAAGGGCTAAAACATCGCGCTCAGCTGGTTTCAAATTTTCGCGCGGTCTCGCCACCCTTCTTCTTCAGAGTATGGGAAGGCGTGGCCCGTCGTTCGTGACTCCGCCCACTTTGGCAGTATGACAAGACGTCAGCGATTGACATCATCAGCGAACTCAGTCACAACACACTTCCACTTGCTGTGATGCCTGGTTGTTTTCCGTTTACCCGGTGCCAATGCTTCTCCACAGCCCAGTCACTCGATTTGCAGCCTGACAACGATTTGCAGCAGAACTATGTTCCAAAACCCACACATGAATTTGGCCCGTTATTTCTGGTGTTAAATTTTTTGGGAGCACACTGCCACGCCATCTTGGGAGCAGCGACACAAAGCACAAATAATGCACTTAATAGTGGGTGTGCCTATCTACATCTGGCGCGACAATCTGCTCACTCCCAAAGACTGGGTCAGTGAAGTGTCCTGATTTCGATGCATGGAGCCTATGGGGAGTTTCGCAACTTGTATGATTGAATAGCTCTGTTGTAGCTGTGGGTGGGAACAGGAACCGTCATCGACTTCACTACTGTTTGTTGAGACCTGGTTTAGACCAGTGCTGCATCGCGCCGCCGATCGCCGAGTTGTTGTCACTGTGCATGCAAGTAGATTGGTCAGGCGTAGGAAAGGAGCGCGGGAATTCTTTTTCGAAATGGAAGCTCTGTGCGGCGTGCAGCTCTGTAATATTCAGAAAAGGTGATCGCTGCGGTCTACCCTACGAATTACCAAGCTTGTTTGGGGGTGTAAAAGAAAAGTCGGAGCCTGTTCTGGTCCTTTAATAGTTGTTAGTTTTTCTGATCTCCTGAAGTACTCACACAGCTCTAGTTTATCCTGTTGACCTAATAGGAGGAGCGTGTTATGCTAGTAAGCACATGTGTAGCAAGATAATGACAGCTGCTGCTTGGGCAGTGTCTCTGAATAGTTGTGAGCACTGCTTTACAATCTAGTGGTTAGCCAGGCGTGATGCCGCAAGCTGGCTATGGGGGCAAGCTTCATCAATTGTGGTGCCTGTACTGGAGCACTGTGTGTTACATAAAAATGGCGTATTTCTTTTTCTCTACAACCAAATTTAATGTGCATATGACCTGAGACACTCGTGACAGGAAATACTGTTCCTTGACATTGTAGGGTGGTGAAAGGCACAGTACTGTTAGGTATGCATAACTGCATGTATTACGTGCAAGTATGTTTACCAGGTGAAATGTTAGTTTTTCTCAAACATTGCCATTACATTTTATTTGCCCTAAATTCTGAAGAGCATTTTAGTGTCCTTGTAAAGCTACCACTTCTTGCCAAACTCAGGCTTGCCAACATTTTTGCTATGTTATGTGTGTCCGACAGTGATCTCGGAGAAGGAGGAAAAGAAGGCACCAAGTGGCTCTGGTGATGCTCCACAAGACGAGACCAAGTCAAAAACAAGCTGAGCTGTTATACAAGTGACAGTGGCGATGCCTCGAGTGCCATGAAAACTTGTATGCTGCTTTTTTTTTTTACTAAAAATTCCTGGAGTGTGTCTTCGGGGCACATTGAAATCATTCCTAGTCACTTGAAAGCTCTCAGACTGGAACATGGAACAAAGGTGTTGGGACTGGTATGTTTATGGGATTGTCATCTTTCATTGTTGTCTTTCATTGTGTCTTGACGTGCGCAATCGCAATGCTCACTTCCTTCCTCCTCCTCCTGTTTTCTCTTGACCCCTCTGTGCAAGTTGGAGAGCCTGTGTGCACATATGGCACCTCCCAACCTTCACCACTACCTTCTTATTCTTTCTCTCTCACTGTTTTATGGTATACTGTGTTTTGGAAGGATTTTTTATATGGTTGACTGTCTTTGAAAATTGTAGTTCTTGTTGATGCTGTAACATGTAAAGCAACTTATTTTGTTACACTGCCATACTTGTTGCAACTTATCTCATTAACTCACTTTAATTTACATTTCTTTTTGTTTGCACCAAAGTTTCTTTTTTGACTCTAGTCATACTGTTTTGACAGCTATGCTTCAAAATCTGTCCAGGAATCGTTAGGCCTTATTTTAATGTCACACAGATTAGTTGCCTGACGATTAAAGCAAGGGAAATCATATGTTGGTTTATGGTGTTTGAACATTCCAAATGACTAAGGCTACAAAAGAGGCCGCAGTGGAGGGCTCCAGATAATTTTGACCAACTGGAGTTCTTTAACGTGTGCAGAAATCACACATTACGTAGGACTCCTGCATTTTGCCACCATCACAATGAGACTGCCGTTACCGGGAACGATCCCATGTTTTTCTGGTCCCCGGCCATGTACCGCATGTACCATAAGCACTGGGCCACCGTGCTATCTCGGTTGTGGCAGCTGTGTACAGCAACACACAAGTTGTGACTGGCATTTCTTTCTGCCAACAAGCACTGTGGCAGTCGATGGGCATACAGCTATTTTTATGTATATATAACTATAGGATCATAGCACTTGTGTAATGTAACAAGAAGAAACTGGGACAGGTAGCACATTATCCTTGTCATTTTTTCTTTTCTTCGCTGTGTGAGCACTATGATCACATATACTGTATCTGTACTCCATTTCACAAGTTGGTTGGAGCACTGCAGAGACTAAGGAGCTACTTAGCCAGTAGGAAAAGAGAAAATTCTTCACAATATATTCATCTATGCCACATTATCTGCTGACATCCCCATAACATTTTCGCCACCCTTCCCCTTCCTCTGAAGGAGGAGAGTGGCAAGGCCGTGCCAAGGCATCGGCACCCACTGCCTTTGATTTTTCAATCTTTACAGACTTACTGAACCTCCTCTCACAGTAAGGGCTTTTTTTGTTAAATATAAAATTGAAATTTTCTGATACAACTCAAACGATTGTTCAGCTGTGCCAAGGCACTTAATGCTAACATACCAACTTTTCATTTTAATGTGCATCCTTGCTAGTACTGTCAAGTTGTGCATGAAGAAAGAACAAAAAAAAAAAACCACTGATGCAGCTAACGGCTTGGTCTCACCATATGCTTGCCACTAGTACTTGTGCAGCTAGCTTTACCTCATCACATTAAATTGGCTCACCAAACAGTGTAAGGCATTTTAAGCACTTTGAAGGAAACAAAATATCTATGAAAGAGGAACAGACAGTGAAGCGGGCAATAGCTCTCCCCACTGCAATATCCTCCTCTCTCTTAGCTTTTATGTTTCTTTCATTGTGCTGTCATGCCTTATGTGCTCTATAACCTACTTACCCAACTGGAAGTCTTACGAGGTGGCCTGGCGCAGATTACACAGGCAAGACTCAGTTCACATGCAGGAATGGGTGTGCAAGATTATGGAGTCCTGGTGTATACAAACCGTTGAATTCACGATTGTAAACCTCGCAGTCATTCCACCACCTTCCTATGCATTGAGAAGGCTGTGTTGCTGATGTTGAATTAATAAAAATTACAACAGTTCTTTGAAAATAATTAAAAGCCATAATAGGCAATTTTAATTTAGAAATGTGTTTAAGACTGTTGTTCTCTGGCAAGGCACTGAGTGTTTTTGCACTTGGCAATGGTTTCACACTATTGTGCCAGAAAACTTAATTTTGTGTGGAGAGCGTCCTCTGTTCTAACAAGCCATTACAGCCAGTTATTACATTTCTGTACATCTGAACTGTGACACCAGTTCAGGTGTACATAAAAAGTTCAGAACACCAGAAAAAGATTGACTGGGATCTCCTTTCTAAGTACGTTGTTTAGTATCTAAGCGCACAAAATTTGAAAACATTGTGCCATTTAAAAGAAAACTTTTGAATTTAGTTTTTCTAGAGGAGGAATCTTTACTTAGACAATGAATTTTCAATAAAAAACTGAAATTTGCAAAATATATAGATTTTGCTCATTCTTCTAGTGCCCATAACTTCACAGAACATCTAACACTTCATAAATATCACTAAATAAACCTTTCATGTTATTATTGTTTACCTAGTTTATCAGTTTTATTTTTATGTGCCCCAATTTCGGTGTCTTTACAGTGGCTCACTTGTTCAGTGACAAAATGTACATTTAGTGGTAATTTCTTTTTCACTTTCTAACAATCCCACCTTTAAAAAAAATATTGAACATTTAGCAGCGCAGACTGAAACAAATTTCGCTTTTCTTCAAATCTCAATGTAGTGCAGTAGCAAGTGTAAAATCATAGGGTTCAACATGATGCATCAATGACAGTGTGAAGCACAACTTTATTTACAGTAAAACACTGGGAACATTCGAACTTATAAAAGCTAATACTTGTTTATCTGTTATGGCATCAATAGTAAAATATGCACAGCTCTATTCACAGGGAAGATTGACAGTGCACATCTTGCATTCATCAGGATAACAGTGGGTGTGCAAATGCTGTTTAGATGCTTCACCAGTACTTCAGTGATGCTACCCTTAAGCCAGCTTTCTTTCCACCCTTAGGTTCAACTGTTATTATAGTGCAGCGGTATGTTACGCTGCACATCTCTGGTGAAATCAAATGTATTGCTGTCTGAAGCAGTAGCAACTTTCTGACTAGTGTTTTTCTCACCATGTGCACCTAGGAAGAACATTATCATAGTTGCTCTCAGATTTATGCTCGCAACATAGATTGGTCCTGCAGTCAGCTTAAATATGAAGCTTCCTTTGGTGTGCATTTAATGTACCCACTAATATTCTCGTTTTGCTCATGGACTGCATCTTAGGGCTGCATTTAAAGAACTTGTTCCTTTGATCATTTTATGCCGTAAAGAAAACACGGTGCTGCAGAAAATTGTGTGCTTGTAAAAAACAAAACAGGACACCTTAGTAGAAAACTCTGTGTAATTTGCAGAGTTTGTTCAATTTCGAATATTTCCCAACATCTGAATTGTGCTTCAACTACTGGGCCTGAAGTTGAACCAATGCACCCACTGGTTTATTTCTGAATGGGGCACTTCAAATGGGTCATATGATTCAGCATATAGTTCATGTTTGTACAAAACAGCATTCACCAGTTTACAATACACAACAAACAATCTTGTTCTTGACACTATTAAAGTTCCATGGTGACATACTCTACATTATGTGGAGAACAAGCAGTAGTAGTACGATCATTAGATGTGTCTACCAGCTCATCAACAATGTGCCAAGCAAAAATGGAGCTTTACTGAGACAACCCCTCCCCAAGACTAACTGCTCTTTCTCAGGCATCACAAAACATACAACAGAAAAAAGTGAACACGCTACAAGTAATAAAAGCACAGGGTAAGTGCAAAGTTTAACAAAAACATATCGGACTGATGACTGACAACTTTACATTGGCACATAGTAATATAACAGTAACGATGAGAAGCAATTCATGATATAGATGATGAAATCTGCAATTTTCTGTTGTTTTCTAGACAGATGGAAAACAGTAAACACCCTGAGTGTGTAATGGTGCATTGGTATACAGGGAACACATTATTTAAAGGTAAAGTTACGTGTCACTGTTTGGTCCACGGCCACTGCAGCGCAAATTCAAAGGCTTCATGCTACTTTCCTTGTTTCCAAATATGCAATCTTTCTGTGACGTTATGATTATGCAACACTGTGCTAGATTTACTTTTTTTCACTGGAGGTAGTAACAGTTTTGGCAAAGAAAGCTGCAGATGCAGTATCTAGTGGTGGTTTACATTGCACTGCTACTGGGCGACAGTATGGCAGCAAGACACACCGTCAAAACTGAGTGCAATAGCAGTGGACCAAGCTGCAACTTTTCTTTGGCTTTGATGACTTCAGCTCTTTGATAGAGACACACTAAACACTATGTACATGCTGTTCTTTGGATTGCTCCGCTTATAAGGCAAGTGAAAACAGCTTAAAACAGCCGTTACGCTGATGACCCCCTTTTTCCTCACACATCCGGGAGGGCATGGAGATGCAGTGGTCACATCGTACTTTTACTGACTAGACAGAGAGGACTGAAAAATGTTTTCAAACATTCACTGCTGAACTAACCTTGCCGGCTACACCAACTCCACACAGCGCAAGTTCAGAATAAACCAGTGGTTACAGGTATGAATGAAAGCAAGGAAGGAAAGGCCTGTTTTCTTCATTAGACTCCACCATATGAAGTCAACAGCTATGTTACTACATCTTGCACAGCCAGGTTTTTAGAAAGTAGGGCCGAAAAGATTTTTGAAATTTGTCAGCACAGTTGAGTTCAAACAAGAAAAAATGTCGCAATCTCGAAAGTTTTCGAAATCGCTAGTTACAGCAATGTGACTATGCACCCTACATCAGTTTTTAAAAAGCTGTAAAGGTTTGCGTTGACAGATCAGAAGCATGGTTGTAAAAAAAAAAGTTTAAATGTTACATTCTTCGAATCTTTAGAGAGTGCTTTGCAACTCAAGGTACAAGTGTAGGTTTGAAACCTGCTTGAACAAAGACGAATTGTGAAAGCATGGTGTTACTGCCTCCTCATTGTAGTCGGGCATTATGAGGTCCGTCTGGAGTGGTATGCCAGCAAGCTTTGCATTCTGCCAGATGTGTACAGCTTTTGGCTACTAACTGCTTTGCAGACTATTATTCTGTTCATTTTATAGCAAAGAACTCGTAGCAGTTAACATTTAGCAAAATACATGAAATGTATACAACCGAGTCTACACATTAACATACGACCTTTTTTTTTATGCAAACTGCTATGTTGCAGTGGTACACTTTTGGCTCCCACAAAAATTTATAGGTGCCCATTGAAGTAGGCAGTCCACTATAAATGTTCGTTGCCGAGGAGCCCACATTCCTCAACGAGCATAGTTGACCACGCTGCATCATTTCAGGTACTTCACACTAGATATCTGCAGAAACATAAACAAGCAAAAAAAGAAAAAAAGGTAATTTCATGCATGTGCATTGGAATGTTGTTCGCTACTGTACTGGATTGCAGCCAGCTGCCATGTGAAAGTTGAGATCTCCTAGAAGAATGCAGGCTGAAGCTGGTCGCAACTGGAGCCTGTTTGTTCATAACTTGGGCACAGAACAGTTTGTTCTTATCACTTGCGGGTGCCGTTACGTAGTCCTCCACCACTTGCAGGGAAGACAGCCCGTCCACACAATTATTGCAAGGATGGTGTAAAGCACTGCCACAGAGTATTGGATAATGCATTGCTGTCCTTGAAGTGGGAGAATAACCAGGCGACGTGAGTGCAGACACGAGTCGGTTAGGAACACAGCGGTTGTCGCCCAATGCCGAGACCAGAATGGTGCAAGCGGTCAGGCTCGGAGGAACTGTGCTTTCGGTGGAGAGTCACCTGCAAGCAGTAAACAGTGATTGTTTTAGTCTAACCAGATCTTTCTCTGAAAAACTGAACTACTTTTAAAGTGGAGCACAACTTGCGGATTTACAAGCTGTAGATAAGTACATGGTATCACACCAATAGATGCACGTATGTGCTGGTGGCTCCACATTTACTTTCACATAAGCAGCATAATAGCAAGTAAAAACTGCAGAGGGGACTATTTGGCAAGTAATCATATCAATTTTGACATTATGAAATTTAATGCACAAACAATGCAATATTCAAGATGCATCCCTATTTTTGTTGTTTCTTTAATATCCTGCATTCTATGACATTGCAATCGTCACTTCATGGATTTGTTATGGCCATGCTAGGCCACAGCGTAATGTGCAGCATCTTAAAACTTTCTCAAGTGGAGAGACTACAAATGCTTCAATAAAAGGCGCAAACTTAGGCTACAGGCCAATCGCAGATAGCAAGTTGTGCATATGCTGGCTTCCTGTACAGCAGAACTACTGCCAGCTCTTGAGTAAAGTTGCGTAGATCCTAACATGCAACTGCTACAATGGTGCATAAAAGAATGTGATAGTTATGGGACACAGATTTTTATGGTCATCTTTGCGAATGCCCATATCTTGGAACATACTGCAGCAAGGTTCATTCCTAATCTCGCTACGCACACTTACATTTTCCTGGAGCTGTCGTCCAATCATGACGAAAGAGGGACGAGCTTCTGGTGCCTTGAACCAGCATTCATGGATCAATGTCTAGGGACAAATACACACTTCCCATGAGAACATGACCTTGAAGCAAGCATCTAAACATGCACGTGTAACAGACCTTCTGGTTTTAAAACCTCAGGTTCAAGCTCTCATTGTAATCACAGTTTGCTTCAGATTCACAAGTTAGTTGCTAAAGCTGGAATGGAGTCATATCAGTTCACTCTTAGGTCAATGAAATGTTGAATGTTAACATTATAGAGATACCTATATGTGCCAGAGCTACTTCAGTTACATTTCAGAATCCGCTTGCTATGTAGAAGGGCAAACATTATTTTTAAAAAAGCTGATAAAGGTAGACAAACAAGGCAAGGCATGTTGTGATCTTAATTGGAAAATATGAAGAAACCATGATATTTTTAAGACAAGGACCAAATGGCATGTTAATATTATTATGCTGTAGTGACAAAGAATTAAACACTACTACAACCATTATTTGGGAAGTCAATCCTTTTCTTAAGCAGAAATGTGTCAAGAAAAACGAACAATGCTCAAGTGGGGACAAAAGTGAACAACAGTCTATTTGTTGGCTAATTTCACAGAGCAGATGAGTCTTGCAACCCGTACATCCTACTCAGCGATTCATAGTAATTACGGCGACTCACTTTATTTAAAGAATGGGCATTTTTCTCATGAACACATTTTCATAGGACATGCCTCTGTTAGATTAGAGCAGAAATTTTAGACAATGTAGGTGCATCCTGTAGATCACCTACATCTTGTGGGGGTGCCATAGCGAAATAAATTGGGGGGGAGGGTGAGGCACAGGCCTGTTGTGCTACCCCTTGTCTACGCCACTGGTGAAAAGCGAAAACCGGAAAAAAAAGTCAAACTATCTTTGGCAGTGTAAAAATTAAGAAATTTACCTTGAAGCTCCCAGTGCATTGAAGATGGTTCAGTGGCTGCTGCTGTCCAGATGCAATTTGCCAAATGACCGAGTGTGGATGTTGAAAGCCAAATGGGAAGGCTTCAGCAATCAGTTCATACAAGATCGTCCTGAAAGAGCAGGTGGAACACATCTTAATGCCTTGCCATGCAGTACCATAGTCTGCCAAACGTCTAAAACTTCCTGAGAAATAAGAAACACATTCCAAAGAAATACAGGAGCCCTAGAGCTATTCCAGTGTCACACAGAATGCAATTCCCTAGGACACAACGCAAGTGTAAAAACATTGCAATTTATATTTGTGTTATACTATGGTATTGCTTGCATTGGCAGATGCTGTTTAAAAGCATTCGCCACACAAGCTCAGCAGACTTAGCATTTCTCTATACTTACAGCAAGTCTGCAAAAAAAAACAACTAAACACCTTGTAAAAATTCAACAGAGAAAAAAAAAAGATAAGTTGTAAGCAGCACATAGTAAGTATTTGCTTGCAGAGTGCAATACAGCTTATAGTTCTCTTCTTGTGATTAATAACACTACAGAAAGCACAGCTATGCGCAAGTTTGACATTATGAAATATAACACGTACGAACCATGCAAGACTCAAGATGCATCCCTATTTTAGTTGTTTCTTTAATATCCTGCATTCTATGACATTGCAATCGTCACTTCATGGATTTCTAAGGGCCATGCTAGACTAGAAATAACAGTCGGGTTTCCGAGGTTCCAATTCCTGTGTGACACAGCTGGCTAGAATCAAAAACCGTTTTCTTGGGCTAGAAGTATTGACTTACCCAAAGGCATAAAGGTCTGACTCTTGAGATGGTTCACAGTCTGAGAAAACATTTGGTGGCTCCACCCTGAGTTGGCGCATCAATTCAGGAGCCAGGTAGGTGAGATGACCCCGTGCAAGGCAACCACGATCGGATGGGTCGTGTACCCTCTCCGCGAGACCTTGATCCATGAGGCACAGCTTGACTCTACTCTCCAATACAACATTCTTAGAGGTGAGGCTCTTGTGCACAATGCCTTTGGCATGCAAGTAGCCCATGCCCTGCAAGAACAATGAAATACAGAGCTGAGACACTAGCCACACCAAAACTTCTCTCAACCACCTTCAGGACAGCAATCATAACAATTGTTTCACACTACATGCCATGGTTGCTCAATGGCTAAGGTGTTTTGCTGGTGAGTATGAGCTCACAAGTTCAAATCCAAGCCACTTTTCAACCCAAGATTGTCAACTGGCTAAACTTGGATACCGCGTTTCTGTTAATGACTGCAATAGTAAAGTACAACTCTTTCACGGGATCTAAGCATGCTACTTTTCTCGCACATGGGCAGGACAAACCAAGGAAAGCAAAGCACAAAATTTTTTTGAAGCAATTGCCACAGACTGATAAATTAATTTAGACCATCTGGGGCTCTTTCACTTTGCATCTGGACTATAAGCACAGCAGCGTTACAAGCACTCCTGCCTCCCCCATAAAGCCACCATTACAGGAAGGTATTCAATTGTATCTTCATGAGCAGCAGTAGAACGCTTATGGCCACTAAGCAACAGCAGCGAAATCTACGGTCACTGGCATGTCACAAACTGTCATTTCATTGCATGCCAAAGCCAGTGATTTGTGCGAGTTGAAGCTATTTTGAAGACAATAAAACATAAGTTAATCTGTTTACCTGCACAATCTGTCTCGCAATATTGACCTTGGTATGGAATGAGAGGTGGTGCTTCTTGATGTGGATATGCTCAAACAGTGATGGGCCTTTCTTCATGCTGTAAACATTTGCAATGATTACATCTCACCGGCCATGATGAAGGGAGCTTAACAGTTCATGTCTGCAGAGTGCCAAAAGCACATTTCTTACCTGGTGATGATAGCATACTGTGGAGGTTCTGCACATGCGCCCATGAAAAGAGCGATATTTTCATGGCGGATCATGCTGAGTTTGCCAACTTCATCCCAAAATTTCGTCACATCTTGCTCTTTAGTGTGTCGAAAGGTATAGATGAGAACTTCACCATGCCATCGTCCCCTGTAATGATTCCCAATCGTTACAGTTATTATCCTCATTTTACAGCTTCTCTGTCAACTGTTCTCTCTGCCAACTAGAAGCAACTACCAGCATCTATTTGCAGAAAAATATTGGCTACAGGCACCAATGTGCACAAAGCATGCAAACAATATTTGGAATGTTATAAGTACCGTAATATTACACAAGATGCAAAGAGTACAAGCTCAATATATACACCATACACACACACACAATAAGTTTAATTTATAGCATAACTGTGTCAAAGCATAACTGTGTCAAACGTAAGGACAATTTATGTTGCCAAGCTCTGTATTTTTACAGTTCATTGCAAACACAGCCAGAAATATTATACCTGTACACATCTGTATCCCTGCCTTGTCGTAGTCTTTCCTTAAACTCCACGTCCTTGTACGGCACACACCATTCACCTAAAGTGTCCTTGATGTTGGTGCTCTGGCTTCTGTAAAAATAAGTGAAGGCAGGACGTGTAAACAAGTTATGTGGCCATGTCTTCCTGACAGCAATGGATTCCTGAAACTCACTTTGATTTGTCTTCCTGCTCGCTCTCTTCAATGCCAGACTCGGGTTCTTCAAGAAAGTTCTCTGCACACAGAATAAATGGGACAGTTTAGTCAAAGGATTGATGAAATAATGAGAAAAATGCACTGTAGACAAACCGCACATTTGCAAAGATGGCTTAACAGGATCCAGCAATAGAGGGGGATTATTTTATCATTTTTGGACATTGCAGGGGACACTAGCCCTCTTTAATGCAGTAATTACTAAGCCTCGGTTTTAGAATGTCAAAAAAAGCTTGGAGGAAAAATGATTCTGGCTGTTGCCCCCATGCTCAACATAAGTGCATAGCCTTTCAGTTCATAAACAGCAACGTTAAGCACGTTTATAGACTTTCATGTTGAAAGAAGGTAACACGTGCAAACACTGAAACAAAAGAGGAGATTCAAAACTCACAGAGTGTTAGAGGAAACAATAAGAAGATGGGAGCAATAGGTAGCACTAATACATTCATTTTAGCCTATCAACAGAACATTGCATTCATCCAGATGTAGGAAGTGGAGGGGCAAGGCATTCAGCACAAGCTGCCTTTCTTTCACTGCTGTGACATTACTGGCAAGATTTGTGAATATTGCATAACATGTGTGGTCGACTGGCAATCCTCAAGGCTGTTTCACACGGATTTGCAGGACCTGAGCTACACAGCTAATCCAGCTGAGAGTAGCTTACTGCTACTTCACAAAAAAAGTCTGAAATTTCAGAGGAGGGGGGAGGGCAGCTACCTCCATGATCCTTCCTCTGGATTCCCATGCAGCCATTCCTCATCTATCATCCAGGGTGAAGAAAGTGAGAAATAGATATCATGCTGAAATGAGTCTTATTATTGAGGCTTGGCATATTAACTTTAGCGGAGTTGAATATTTGAGACAGCTTTCAATTATACTGCATCAAGAAACAAGTAGTTTAAACAGTTATCTTTTGCAGAGACCCAAATAATTAGTGTGCATGACACACGTTTTACATGTGCCCTGCATTCCTTACCATGCTCAGATAAGTTTAGTATCTACTTTTTTTTTGCCATGGTGAAACTTTTTTCAGTTGGTAGTCTGCATTTGTGTTGCTTGCTTTTTGCTAATGTCAGTGTTTGTACTCCTTACTTTCTTGCATGATGAGTTTGTGACATGTTTGTATTTACAAACGCACTGGGAGCTTATACCGTTCAAAAGTAGCCCATGAAACTATTCGACACGACAGTTGCGCTCGTGTTGTCATGCTCACTCTGCCCTTATATTCCATACTGTCGTTCACTTCAGACTAGACAATTTAGAACTTATCAATTGCATGAAAACCCTCAAGCAGTATTTATCAGTTCTCCAATCATGTACACAACTCTCCGCCGTGAGGATGTTCTAGAACGTACCAACTGAGCATCAGTATTTGCCATGATATGTCTAATGCAGAACAATTTAGCCGAGTGATATTCTAGTAATGTACAGTGTCAATTTTTATGAAAGGGAACACAGGAGCGCGTGGCCTGCACGCTTCGGGGGCTGCTGGCAGGGCATTCAAGCGCAAACGACAGCAAGCACGGCCTCTTATGGCGTCATCTCGCGGCGAACAAAACAAGCAGTCATTGGTGATATCGATAACGCAAGATGCCGGCAATCGCCTTGGAAGGGGGAAGAAGTTGCAATCGTGCCCCTTGGCTGGTTTCGTGCCCCTTGGCTGGTGCCCCTTGGCTGTGTCTTGAAACGGTGCCAACATTGGGCGCGCCAACGGACGCCGATCACGTAAGTTGCGCCTCGCTATGGTGGCCAGACCATAGCCTCGTGTCGGAGCTTGTGTTTTGCTAGCGTAGCGTCATTCTGCCAGCGTGCCCACTCATGCAAGAAGAGATACGCGCGCATCGCGTTCCATCCTGACCCTGCCATTTGCTCCACAGGGAGCGCATGTGTTCCATTCGTAGATTCCCTTTTGTTGCCTTCCACCAGGGTGGAGTGTTTCGGCGCAGAGTTTGTTGACCACTCCGAATCTGCCAATCGATGACACCATTAGTATATACAGTAACTCTACCCCCGGAGCGTGGAGCCCACGCGCTCCCGTGTTTCCTTTCGTAAAAATTGACACTGTACACACCTTCAAGGATGACCACTGAAATGAGGAAACTCAAGTGTCATTGGCTACCTTGCACAAATAAATGCATCGAGTGTTTGATGGCATTTGCACGAATCACGGTTACCTGGCCGTTGTGTAGGCTTCGACTGGGTATCATTGTGTGCAAACCCGCCACTCGACCATTTTGAAAGCCACCAGGGTATGTTTGATGTTCGGACACACGGTGCATGCAGCAATGCTTAACGTCCGAGCGGAGCTCACCTGCTGGATTTCCAGCTGACCTTCCCAGAGGAGGCCACGTAGCGCAGAGCTTTTCGACGTCATTGGCCTTGGTCTCCAGGCTGAGTGTGCGCGCCTTGTTGGCCAGCCACTGGCGGCCCGAGCGGCCGTGCTCGCTGATCACCGCGTTCTGGCGCACCAGGCCAGCACCGCGCGTCGGATGCAGCCGGCAGGGTTCGTGCGCCCGGGCGCCTCGGCAGTCGAGCTCGGTGTCTGATGGCGTCTGCACGGCCGACGAGGCCGACGACGAGATGTAGCCGCTCGACGAGAGGCTGCCGTTGGGCGACAGGATGCCGGCAGCGAACGAAGCCTTGCGCGTGTGGCACGTGCAAGGCGGCGTGGCCGCGGCCGGCTGGTGTGAGCTCAGCACCTTGAGCTTCTTGCGCGCCAGCCGCTCGTCGGCCAGCCGCGAGCGGCCCAGCTGCTTGACGGCGTCGGGACGCGCAGATTTGCGCCTCTGGGAGAGCCAGTGGACCACCTTCAGCAGTCCCGTCACCGCCAGCGTCGGAGACCGAGGTGGTGGCGGCGGCGCCGGCAGAGCCGGCTGTAGCTGGCTAGCCGACGCCGAAGTGCCGTGGTCGCCGGTACTGCTGAACAGGAAAGGCTGGTCCATCAGCGGGCTCACGGTGAGCACCTCGTGGCCCACGCTCGAAAAGCGCCACTCCTGCTCCCCGCAGCGGTCTTCGGCTGCACGTGCGGAACAGCGTTTTAGTGCGGGCTTGAACCGGCTACGTTCGCGATCCGAACACATTCTTCTGAACACTCGCAGCACATCTAGAAATGACGTCACGATCAGCCATCCACACGGTTCTCAAGGTCGTGTTGGCTGGCCGTGTCGCGAAAGAAAAAAAAAAAGTTTCTCTCGAGAAACGTGCAGCTCAGCTCCACACAGGATTCACTTCCGAAAAACATGATCCTTTTTTTTTTTTTCCTGCCAAATATCAGCATGCATAGAGCTTGTGGCTCTCGTGGCTGAAGGCTGACAGGACGTCGCACGTCGGGCCTTATGCGTGCAGGCAATACACATCATGCATTAGTGCATTAATCAGTCCAGTTGATAGATTGCACGCTCACCGGCATCCAGGGTTTGGTGGTTTCCCGCGCCGCTGCGGCGTCCCAGGTCGACGACGGTGGCCGGGGAGCACCAGTGGGGGCTGTGGTTGGCGCACGATTCGTGCGACAGCGCCCTGCAAGGAGCCATGGCTCGCGGTCAGCCGCCACCGAAGCCGCAGCTGCTCGCGCTACCGGAGGGACGCGCGAACCGAAGCCCACTGAAAGAGCCCGCGTTGCCCTCGCCCCGACGGCGCCCCAGCGACGCCCAACAGCTTGGGTCGGGAACGCGCTCGGAGCCAGCAGCTGTTCGGCGCAGTGGGGCCCCCCTCGCTGAAGCCTGCAGACGCCTCGCCTAGTTCTTCCAATTGGATTCTCCCCTTTTTATCGCTTCCTAAAAGACGATCCCTTTGTTTGTCCACACTACCGTTCTCGTACCTTGCCCGTTTCTCGATTCTGACAAAAGCTGTCTTAATGATGTGTGTTAGCTTGAAAAGTCCGAGGCTTTTTCGTTTCGTTTCTTTTCGAGATCTCGTTTATATTTTCACTCTTTCCTCCGCTCGTGGCACTGATCGCATTCAATCACCGTGGTGACGTCTGAAACACTGATGGGATTCGCCTCGTTTAAAAGACTCCATCATTGTAGCTGAACGAGCAATTTAACTTCGATTCTTGTTGGCGACTCTACGTGTTTTTTTTTTGTTTTTTTTTTTTGCCAAATTGACAGCCTAGCTGTGATAAGTACACTTTAACCTTTTTACGAAATGCGTAGTGGAGCTTCGGCGACCTCTGCTGTGACGGTTGTCTCGACAGGTTTCTACCTACGTTGTTTGGCGAATTTATGCCCAGTTGCTATCCACGCAAAATCGCTGACGCATTTGCAAACCTGCACGCATTGACTGCACTTCGTCGACAAAGTTACGGGGGTCATCAGCCTGCAGTGCGATTCGCTTTTCCTCGAAATGCATATATGGCCCTCTCCGCTGCGGTGGAGCTGTAGTTACGGTGCTCGGCTGCTGACGCGAAGGTCGCAGGTTCGACCCCTGCAGCGGAGGTCGCATTTCGATGGTGGTGAAATGGTTGAGGTCCTGTACTGGGGCGATGTCAGGGCACGTTATTGTTGTTGTTGTTGTTTTCCTATTGTTAGTGGCGCATACCCACTGTGGGGGATTGGCCAAGAATCGAGTGGTTTTAAAATTTACTGTTCATATTTGGAATGATGGAGGTTTAACAGAAAGATTACCGATAGCCAAGGAAAGTGTGGTGCTAAATGTAATGCATAAAATATTTACGTAAACGAATTTATTCTCAGAATAGAGCAATAATCAGATTTTATACGTGTATAATTATGTGAACCTGTTAGGATAATGAAACTGGTTAATTAGTCAACCTATTAGTTGCATCAATATAGTCCCGGACGGCCGCGCATACTGTCGCATTAGAGAAACCAGAAATGGAAGCTCCAAAAGACAAAATGACAGGCAGAGATAAGTCCATACCAATACCACGTAAAGGTATTTCTAATAGGGTTTTTCGTAATGTGTTAAACCACCTGCAGGTCAAAAAGAAATGGTCTATTGTTTCCAGTTCATCACAGAACGCACACGGTGGCGAAGGTGCCTGAGGGCACGTTAAAGAACACCACATGGTTAAAATTTCCGGAGCCTACCCACTACGGCGTATCATATCGCGGCTTTGGGACGTATAACCCCAAATATTACGGCGTGGCTCAAACTAATCAGCAAAAAGTGCAGAAAATCACCGCCCAAGCACTCCGCACTAATAGTTAACCAGCGAAAGCTGAAACATGCGGCCTTGGGCGTTCAGCAGCGGGTTCGACCCGACGTGGTACAGAAGCGTTACATGTTCGTGCTTCTCAACGAGATTATACTCGGCGACAACTTTTCTTGGCACTGAAGGGTAAGACACGGAACCAAATCACATGCATCCTACCGCCAGTGAAGGTAGTTCCAAAGTAGCGCCCGTATTGTCTACGTGAAGATATTTGAGACAGGACACAGCTCACACCTGTCAGATATTCGTATTTCTTTTAATTTATCGGTTGTGACTTCGCGCTTCTGAATGTGTGAAAAATGTCCCGCCTTTTTACGTGCACATCGAACGCTAAGCGGCGTCTGTGTCTACATGAAACGCAGATGGTGCACCCCCTTCACTTTCCACAGCGTGCCAAAACGGACTACTTCGCGTAGTGCTACACGTGCGGAAGCTACGCCTCCGTAGCGTTCACTTCAGTGCCAAGAAAAGTCGCCGAGTATTGACACCTTTGGCTCGGGTTTACCACAGAGTTCATTTCACATGCCGCACATTGCGTCTCGCATGATCATGGTCGCGTAGGAATGTGATGAGCGGTTAAATGCGTCCATCACAGTGGTTGTTCTCGGACCACAGGCGGTCACAGACATTGACACCGCAACTCGGCGTTGTTGCAAGCATCTGACATCGCGAGCAACATCGGCGGGAAGGGCTCGGCGCCACGGCTGCGACGACGTCACTCACAACGCAGCCAATGGTGCGCGCGCTCGGGAATGACGTAACTGACAACACATTCAATGGAGACCACTCATGACACCGCTGCCGAACGGATTTTCGTTCTCCTAGCCATACACCTTTCGCTGTAAATTCGGCGCACCTCAGCGTGCGACCCCCGGTAGAATTCAGGTTCTTGTTTACCTTCTCTGGTGGTTCACAACCACTCTGGGGAATTGGCCAAGAATTGAGTGGTCTTTTAAAACGTGGTGGAATTTTATTGTTGTGGTTACTGGCTAAAACAACGCCCAAACCCACTGTGGGGGAGTGACCATGGTTATGAAAAATTGTGAGTCATCCCACCATGTGGAAGTGGACGACCGGTATAATATTAGTTAGCACACAACAAAGAGGTGATGCATAATTTGGAGCCGCAGCCGAACACACGCCCTCCACATGGTCGAAAATGCCTGTCCACCCTTTTGAATTTAGCGAACGCTCCTTCGCATTCTCCGCTTCACGACATGTGCCGTATATACTTACCACATGCGCTTGGCGTTTCTTGCGCGTTCCTTATTTCTGATGCCATATATATGCTCCGTCTAGAGGTCATATATAAATTGGACGTAAATCTCCAGACATTATTATTATTATTATTATTATTATTATTATTATTATTATTATTATTATTATTATTATTATTATTTTATATGCGAAGCATTTCCTAGCGAAACTTCGGCGACCTTGAGCGTATCTATCTATCTATCTATCTATCTATCTATCTATCTATCTATCTATCTATCTATCTATCTGTCTGTCTACGACTTTTAGCTCTCCTGGCCGTTTCGATGATCGTATCAATACCAAACTTGGTATGACATAACATGACCATATGAAGAACATATCTGACTAGTCGTAACTTGGAAATCATCACAGGGATTTCATGAATGTCATGATTTACATCATGGTCTTGCAGCTCTTGCGGTGGTTCCGTTCACATGGGATGTTCAAAACTGGTATGGTATGACATGATTGCATGGCGAACACAAGCGACAGACTTTATGAAAATCATGACATGCGTGTCATTTAACAACATGACTACATTCTACGCTCATGGTGCGCTCGCGGCCGTTTCGATAGCTTCACATGTACCAAACTCGGTATTACGCGAAGCGAACGGATGACATAGGTTAATGACACATCCAAACATGATAATCACGACGTGCGTGTCATGCAACAACATGACTACATGCCACACTCATGATGTGCTCGAGGCCGTTTCGCTAGCTTTACCTAAATTTGGTATTACGTGACGTCAATGGATGACGAAGGTATGTGACTGGTGCAAACATGATAATCATGAGATGCGTGTCATGTGAGAACATGAGTAAATGCCACAGCAACAGTCAAGGCGCCAATATATTTCGACGTGACGCGGTGCGCGTGCTCGCCGGCGTTTATTTCGTCGCGTCACGCCGGTGTTGCCACGCCTAAAGTCCCTCTATCTATATATAGGGACCTTATCCACGCCAGGTGCCGGTCCTGCCATATACTCGCGCGTGCGCATCGCGCTGCGTTGCTGTGGCGCATGCGCGTTTCAGCGCGTTCAGCGTCCGTCCGTCACGAGAGAGGGAGACGCAGTGTTGTCTGGCTAATGCATCGGCGCGAAATGCAGCGTGTCGCATTTCGCACCGGTTGCGCCTGGCGTCAGACTATAGAGTTCTCGCGTTTTGCTAAGGATCATATGTCTCTTCCCCCGCTAATGTCAATAGTGTTTTGGCATATCTGTTTTGCGTGCGGAGATTGTTCACAGGTGTAGAGGCTGCGTTAACCACGAGAGTGAAAACGGGCAGATGGGGGGGGGGGGGGGGGGCACGCTTTTTGCAGCTGCCTGTGACAGAAGCAAAAGGTCAAGAGACAACGCGATGGCCGGTGCTCGCTCGCTAATTCATCCTTTTATTTTCGCGGCGGCTCGTGCGTCCGACTCCTCGTTCTGATTGAATGTCATCCATCGGCGTAATAAATAATAACGACCTAGATGTACGCAAGCGCGAAGCAAACCCGACTGTCGTTCTCATAAACAGCAGATGGTCAATTCGGTTCTCAACACGTGGACGAACACACTTGCGGGTCAAACCGAGGGTGAATCTTTTTTTTGAGCGGATGTTTAGGACCACGCGTGCTGTTTCGGTGCCTTTTTTTTTCGGGTGTATTCATCGTTAGCCCTTCCGCCTGCACGTCACAGTTTTCTGCGCGTCACATGGTTTTTGCATGCCCTCCGTGATCGGCTCCACCTTTGACCAACAGACGGTGTAATGCGATGACGTCAGCATGTGACGCCACGCTTGTGATGGCATAATGACGTCACAAATTTTCGTCACACGGTGATGATATGTTGAATCACTCGAGTTGACGTCGCGGGTCGCCGCCGACGGTCAATTTTGTGCAGTGATCAGGCATCTAAAAATTTTCGGCCTAATAAAATATGTGCCACGGCGTGTCCATAGTGACGCTTTTATGCAGGCGCCGCAAAGGCCGTGAAGATAACACCATATACCGGTGCACGGGATGTAATCAAAGCGCAATACTAATGTACTCACCCGCACTGTTTGCAGCGGATGCCCGTGAAGTACACCATCTTGTTGCATGTGGAGCAGCGCTTGGGCGTCGAAAGCGTGCGGGTCAACCTGCGCACACGAAAAAAAAAAAGTATTTCAGTTCAGTTTAGTCACGCGTATACATAACAACTATTCGTTCGAACAAAATAATCGCATTTATTGAAGACCCCCTAAACATGCTGGTCAATCGAAAGGGTTCACCGTGCGAGCAAAGAAATCGCGCATAAAGTAAACGTCGCGACTCTCTTGCTGCACCAAATCTTAATCGGTATAAGATCTTAAAACTCGCGCAATAAGCCGCGAGAGTATATATTTTGCAGATGGAACAGGTTTTTTCTTTGTTTTTATCCCTTAAAATTATCCCAAACCACGGCATCGGGAAGACACACAACAAAGCATGAATGTGCTTATATCAACAGCCACACCACATGTTGTCTCACGCTGATTGCGTGGCAACGCCGCGAGCCGTAGAAACTCACGGGGCTCATTATGCATTCGCGTACGACGGCGGGAATGCAAAAGCCACCATCTTTTTCAAAAAGCTTTTTTTTTCGGTAGGGGGGGGGGGGGGTTCAACCACACTTTATGTACGTTCGAGCATACGTTTGTACGTGTGCGTGTATACGTACGCAAGCAAAATCATCCTTTTCCATTTTTCTGTGCTGCCCTCTGGTGTTTCGGTATAGAGTTTTGGTAGGGGTCGGGAGAAGTGGTATAGCTAGAGCGAAAGCCTCGGAGACCAGGAAGCGTTTCGCGACATTTCCGCTAGGGGAAGGGCGCATGCGCCATGGCATCCTGGAAAACGCGGATCGTATGAAAAGTTCAGGAGAAATTTGAACCGCCTCCCCTTCCTCTTGGCCACGCCATTGTTCTTTTTATTATTAGTCAAATTACTACTTCCATCCCTACCCCCATCCGAACGCTTTCTGCACATAAAGCGGTTGCGCTGCACTGCTCTGGGATCAAAGGCGTTGCGAGCTTTCTGCACATCTCTCGGTGTTGCATGGCCTCCGTGATCAGCCCACCTTTGACCAAGCAATGATGTCATGTGCCGACGTCATCACGTGCCATCACGTTACGTGACGTCGTGATGACGCCAAATTTTGGTGATCTGAGAAGCCGTGATTATCTCACATAATGACGTCATCATGCGATTTTTTTTCTCCTCATTCGTGTTCACGCCGACGACAGCCAATTTTCTCGTTTAATGAGGCATGTAAGGCTTTTACCTAAAATTATTCGCGATAAATAGGTGGTCATGAGGATATCGGCGAAGCAGTAGAAATTTGCACTGTATGTGTAGCTCGCACTTTGCTACGGTTAGCTGCACTACACCGAACGCGATTGGTGATTGTTCGTGGCCTTTGGATGTTCTGCGCAACGCCAAACACCCACAGTCCATCCCGTGGCCTTGGCCAAAGCGTTTCATTAAAAAAGAAAAGGCCTTGGGCCGTCACCTGCCGACGGCGGCTGCTCGCTAGGCACGTGTCCAACTTTGTCTGCGCGATGCTAATCCGCGGGGGCTGGTACCTTACGGCTCTTCGACAAATACTATGTCGAATAGGGGCGAAAGGCGCTGAAGTCCAAAATTGAAAAAAAAAGGAATGTTTCTGTTGAGAAAAACGCGTTCTTGGGCTATAATAGCTGATCCATGGTGCAAACGAGCCTCGTCTTTTCTCGTACTCGTTACTTTGTGCATCCAATTTTTTTATTAAATTTGTTGCTATGCTTAAAACTAACGAGCAAAGCCATAGGAGCAAGGGTCGATAGGTGTCAGGAGGGTGCCTCCCCTTCCACTCAACCTAATAGGGGGTGCAAAGTCTGCTCCGTGCCTTTACCCAGTCGGGTCTGTCCTTGTCATCTTTTCAAGAACCAGGGTTATGGTCACGCAGGTTTTGACCTTAACGGCGACCGAAGGCCTCAAATATTGCTTTTCAAAAGCCTCCCGCCTTTGCTTCCCTAAAGTGGGGGACGAAAGGCAGTCCAATGTAAAGGAGGGGGGCTGAAACGAATCGCCCCCTCCACTAAATGGGAACCCTGGGCGCACCTACTGCGCAACGAATTTGAACGTCAAGAACACCGCAAATGCATCCACGACAACTCGCTACAAAAAGATATTCCTCAAAAAGCGAATCTAAAATACGCACAAAAGTACAACCAGTGCACACGAACGGAACTGCAGTATACGCGTGTGCGGGCGTGCATGGCAGACTTATCGCGCTCCAGCGACCATCTGATGTTCCACAATAGCAACGGTTTCGATTCCCCGGACTGATTAAATGCTCCATGAGGCGGCTAAGATAAGGTGTTTGGTCGCTTCCTTTAACACACGCGCTGCGTACAAGTTTAGACGCACGCGCGGCCTCGGGTCACTCGGAAAACGGACGAGCACATTATGGTGAACGATTAGGAGGCCCAAGTAACGGCCGCACTGCGATCGGCAAATTCCCGTAATGGGACAACAATAAGCAAGCCGCCCACGAAACGACGAGGAGGCGAGGCGTTGCCCCGCACTGACGTCACCTGGGGTACCCACCGTGGCGCCACCCGGCAACAGCGCGCTCATCGGGCGCTCCATTTTACCCCCATTGGGTGAGCGGCCAAGTGGCGTTTATTGCACATTTCTCTAGCTCGATCGAGGCTGCTGTGCCGCTTTTGTTTGGTTTTGCGTTTCCGACGGCTCCTGCGGTAACTTTTTCTTACGCGATCCTGGATTCGCCTACTTACACTGGCGAAGAGCTGCCAGTCGTCAGACGGCGAACGCGGCTGTTTCAGGGCGTCGGAAGTCACTACATTATACAAACTTCGGAACAAAACCCAGTCAAGTTCGGTCAAAGTCAACTTTTTGGGTTGCACTTGCCAAGATTACATGTTTACAAGGAATGTCATAAAAAAATTGGCTGGGAGTTGGGTCGTGATCGGGGACACTGCGGGCTGGGAAGTGATGCAAGCCACATCGCTCGCGGTGCAGAAAACGCCGATCTTTCTGGGTTCGTGTCACAAACGTATCACGTGGTACGTTGCAGTGATACAGGTGAGCGGTTTCATTGGTCCAACGAGAGTGTATTCCCTGGCGCACGCAGTGGTGTTGCTCAGTGCCCCCGATTTCGTTTTAACAGTTTGAGCAGGAAAAGCGGCACATGTATTAGACACGACCCTCGAAGTTCTCCGCGCAAGCAACACGTGCGAACGTGTCCGCGTCGGACGCGCAAGTGTTGGCTTCGCTGTCAAGAGCATTTTTTAGCCCGACGGCGCAAACGAGCGCTGTTCAACGGACGCCGCCGAGTCGTTCATCACGCACGACACAAACACTTGGTTGTCGACCCTATAGCGATGAATCCGACTGGGGCCACGGGGCAAACAACTCGCCGGGCCTGGGTGCGAGAGCGCCGCCGGCACGCTGAGTGTCGCGTCTGCGCTATTATAGAGCACGAGGCTGTACGACAGGGAATTTCCGCGGAGCAACCTAACGCGTTCGCCACTGTCGTCCACGATATAGCTGCGCGGTTGTGTAAACCCCGCTATACCGAACTTCTGTTTAATGAAATTCTCGATATAACGAAGTGTTTCACTGTTCGCACGTTCAAGTCCATGTAGAACGTATAAAAGCCGTGAAATGCAACACCTTTCCCGGAGAGCATCAAACGTTTTGGCGTATATACGCGTCCAACCATATCATCCACTCTTCACCCACCACCTTTTCTCGAAATGTTTCGTTTTTAAACTGCATCAGTGTGCCCGATCTGTTGTCCTGGATAGTGCATTACGAAAAAAGAATAAAACAGCGCTTTGGGTAGGATGAAGTACAGACGACAGACTCCTTCGCCCTGTTCAGAGCGCCGTCTTATTCCATTTCATTTTGGTATGTACACACTTACGTGCGTAGATACAAACATACGCGCATATAGAGAAGTCAGGCCCCCCCTTGGTTACCGGCGTTGAAGACGACCAGCTATATCAGTGCGCACCAGAGCTTTTGTATGCATATTGTTACATATCCTGGGACATTTGCATGTTCGCAAATCATCACACTAGATGTAAAACAGCAAATAGCGTTAAAAAAAAAGGGATACTGAGCAGACTTCTTCAGAAACATCTTGCGCGTATATAAGCCAACGAACTTAGCTATTAGGCAAGGGCATTTCGTCACCATGGTTATTACGGAAGAAACTGCGGAGGGTCATAAGTGTAGGCGTCCTCTTCCTGAGTAGCAATGAACCGTCCGATGTCACTGCATCACACCGAGCATTTTGCCGCTGGCTTATATCCCTGTCAAGGTTCGCGCTTTGCTCAGCGGGCCAAACGCTCCGCGTTGAAAAAACGCGCCGTTCATCTTGTGTCTCTGACAGGTATCCGTGTGGCGCCAGACCGAGACGAGTTGCGGAAATTTTGGACGCCGACTAAATATAGCACCGAGTGACATCGGAGGAGGTGCTGCGTGAGGACACTCCGCGACCGCCTAAGCCTACAGAGGCTTGCAGTGGTTTAATTCGCGCGTACAAATTTCGAACCTCCCCGTCTAGAGTGTCTATGTGTGATGATTACCGCGAGACATTCATGCATGTATCCAAGCACGTCGTGCAGCAGGAAATTTCGTTAGGGCATTATACACAGGTACATTATACGATGTTACACATTTGCTCTAACAAGGAACAAATATTGTTGCATTTAAAATCTCCAAACGATGACTCGCGACCTGTGCGCGACGTCCGTCAAATAACAGTTTACTAACAGGTAAAGTGCAAATTGCGACCACGCATGCATATTTCGCGCCGAGCTCCAAGAAAGAACTTCAACGGTGGACTGCCATGGACATCAGCTCTATACTTCCTGGTGCCCCCGGTTCGCTACATACGAAAGTGTCTGTCGGCTCAGTTTTTGCGTGGTATCATACAACATTTGTATCATACCTGACGAAAAATACGTAGAAGTGCGCATTGAAGACTAACCAGTCTTATGTTGTTATTACCACCATAATCAAACAGGAAGCTTTACGTACACAGTACGATTATCAGCTCGTTTTTTTTGTTTCTTTTTACTGAATGTGCTGCGTATTGCTTGACTGTCTT